GAGCAGAAAATTATTTTCCAGAGTTTGTTAGGGTTTTAATTTTTTTGATGGAAGGAAGAGGCAATCTTATTTACTTCTAAATTTAGATCTTTCCTGATCCACCTAGATCAGACAGCATTAATAATCTGCTAACACTGCAGTGATAGTCAGGACTACAAACCATTAAAGTAGAGTAAAACTAAGCCACAGTTGGAAGACCAAAAAGCTTTACAATGCACAAGCTTCTCTTTTCTATGCTGTTTGCTTTGACCCACTGTGCCACAAATGTCACTAATCTCCAAGTCCAACTTGCTAGTGCAAATTAACAGCCTACCCTATATTAGCAGCATATACTCATTTTCTGGCCATGCTGTGATATATGATTCCACAAATCCTCTGGACCATTCATAATGCTTAATTCTCACTTAGTTCTACTCCTTGTTCCTTTAAGGATCTTCTTTGTTTCTATTGCCATGTTGGCAATCTCTTCTGAAAGTCAACGTATTCTCTCTGAATAAAGAGCACTACTGCTATGCAAAGGGACCTTGTGACAACTTTCTGAAGGGGCCAACAAGGTAGTCAGAGAGGGACTCTTCATCAGGAATTGGTAATGACAGGACAAGGGGGAATGGCTTCATGGGGGAAAAGCTGTGGGACCCAGACTTGAGACCCAAATATACTAATCTTGTCTGTACTACCTGTAGGAGTGCAGCCAGTATTCTGTTTATTTCTAGGGTCATTCATCACACTTACTTGACTACAAGAGTCCACAAACATAGACAAAATGGCTTTTTTGTCAGGAGTTTACATGTGGAAAATATCAAGAAGAACCATGAAGAGCAACAGAAACTTTTCACTAACATCGGCTAAGAAATATCAAGAAGAACCATGAAGAGCAACAAAATCTTTTCACTAACATCAGCTAAGAGAACTTTAGCTTGAACAAAATCTGTCTTTCTACCTGAAATGAATTATTTGAATTTTAAATTAAAAAAAAAAAAAGTAATTATTAAAGAACAGAAAAAGTCATGCAAAGGGCTATATTCTTGGAAGATTTTTATACCATTGTCCAAAAGGCCAAAGAAAAAACTATTGATGCTTGTGCTGAAGTAGCTTTTGCTAAAGTCCATACAAGTCTGTGCCCCAGGAGCCTGAAAGTAAAGCCAGTCTCCTCTTACAGAAGAGACCTATGTGGAAATCTTGCCTCTAGTCCAAGTCTCCTCTATAGATAACTTACTCGTTAGGCTACACTGAGTAAGCACTTGCTCTGCTTTGTAAATTGCATTGTGTAACTTCTGAAGCATGTCCAGAAACATCAGAATGATTTCTTTTGAAAATATGAAAACATAAGCATTTTCCTCTCCTTTTAATGATTTAACAACACCTCCCCCCCAAAAAAAAAAAAAAAAAAAAAATGGTCAAAATTGCACATTTTCCTCTATTCAGATAGGCACAATGTTCCATTTTGGGCAAAGAATAATTTATCAGAAGTGATAGTCTCCAGGCCTACAAACCAATATACTTTTAAGGTGTCTTATAACCACATTAGAGCCAAGCCCATAAACCAGCTGCAGTTTCCCAGTAACATCCATTTCTCCTATCTAGAATAATGTCTTAGACACATTCTGAGGTGCTGAGCTTTATGGACAGCCTGACAATTTCTAGTCATGGACTGGAATTTCTGAACACCATTTATGAACCTCCTAAGTGAACTGTCTTGGAGGAACTCCCTGAAAACTGTAATCTCAGCAAGTGTTTGTGTTTTCTGTCAAACTTTTACAGCCAGAAAAATATAAAGATTTGTTCAGAAACAGTTTGCTTTTGCAACAAATAGTTTGCCAAGCATAAATCAAGCTACAAGACAAATTTCAGAATAAGCTAGCATCTTTCCCACCAAGTCCACACGACAATTCACATAAAGTTCAGAAAAATACTTTAAAATGTTTTTCCATTAATGGGGTTTCTCCATGGACAAGAAAAATTGCCTGTTTGAACTGCTCCAACTCTGAGGTCTGTAGCCCTTCCTTTTTGTGTGCAGCATGACATTAAAGAGAGTCTGCAGGAACTCCAGTCTTACTTTTCCCACCTCATCACCTGCTCCAACTTGTGTATTTTGCTAGTGCCACTTAGTTTTGAAACTAAGCAGACCAGTGATTGCATGCAGCTGCATGTTGGCATGAATAATGCTTTCAGCTTTTGAGATGAGCATTGTCAGAGCTTTGCTCACCATCCTATGGACTTGTGTGTCATACCTCATGTGGGTTTGCTCTTCTGAGTGCTGCAAGGAATCTGCTGAATGACATCTGTTTTATAATATTTTTACTGGTTTTAAAAGCAAATAATTTACTGCTGGAAGACTAAATTGCACAGCAACTTTTTTTTATACAACACGGTCTGGGCTCTGAGATCCATCTACATTAAGTTAGTATTTATTTAGGTATGACAGTAATTGTATGGTTACTGAACATCTTAGATTTTTTTTTCCCCCCAAAGCAAAACATTGCTGCAAGCAACAGTCTAGATTTAGGTGAACTCATACTGTGACAAACTGAGAATGGAGAAAACACATTTCTTGTCCATAAAAGGACAGCTCACACATCCACAGAGGGTAGCTCTGATTTTGCTGCAGTTCCAAACTATTAAGTGGGGACTCAATCTTGCAAAAAGGAGTTTGGCTTAGAGGGGACAGAGCATTGTACAGTAAAAGTTTTTTTTCTTTGTCTTCTTAAACAGAAAATAGTTTACACATTTGGATAGTTAAAGGTGATTTATTTTTTTTTGAAGTGGAAAATGTTCTCTTCAAGAGTTGTGATATTTCCACAATTTCTCCTGGGAAAAGCACAGAGTACTCAGAGTGTTGCCAGCAGGTTGAGGGAGAGGATCCTTCCCCTGAACTCAGAACTGATAAGGCCACATCTGGAGTGTTGTGTCTAGTTCTGGGCTCCTCAGCACAGGAGAGACATGGACATACAGGAATGAATCCTTGAAAATGATTAAGGGACTAGGACAGCTGTCATATGAGGAGAGGCTGAGAGAGCTGGGGCTGTTCATGCCAGAAAAGAGAAGGCTCAGAGGGATCTCATTGAGGTGTGGAAATACCTGATGGGAGTAAGCAAAAACGATGGAGCCAAACTCTTCTCTGTGGTGTCCCATGAAAGAGCAAGAGGCAATGGGCACAAATTGAGATAGAGGAAATACTACTGAAGCATGAGAAATTTCTTTTTGTTATTTTTGTAAGTAAGGGTGTCTTAGAGGGCTTGTGGAGACTCCAGCCATGGAGATATTTGAAACCTAACTAGGTACAACCTTGTGCAAGCTGCCCTAGCTAATACCTCTTTGAGCAGTGAGATTGGACTAGATAATGACCTGAGGATCCTTCCAAACCTATCTTTTCCATGGTCTATGATTCTGTGTCTTCATCACAGACTGCTAGTGGCCTCTGATATGCAGTGGATATTTTTGCAGTGCAGGAGAATCAAGTTCAAGACTATTCCAATTCACTTGAAGCAGTACCACAGCCAGAGTTTACCACATGATATGAGAGTGCTCTAAGATGAATTTAATATTTTCTCCTTCAATCCCCTTCATGTGCAATAAGTTCATAAAATAGGTGTGCTCTGAAGTGAATGGTTTGCTTCCATGACTTAGTATTTTACACTGAAAATTCATGTCACTTAAATATAAGTGCAAATACAGAATATACAGGTATCCACAAAGACAAAAACCCACTTCCTTTGACTCATGATCATGGTTTTCAACTACAGAAACAAGATGGCAGAAAGGCTTAAAAAGAAATGACAAATGATCTTCTAGAATATGGTCAGAAGCTAGAATTGCAAGGACACCACAGGAATCCATATAGAGCAGTGCATGGCAAAGTACAGTACAAAGAAGAAGGGCAATTTTAGGTACAATTTTCAAAGTCTTCAATCTTTGAACAAGATTCTTCCATTTTGGAGGGTAGTGGGGAGAGGGGTGTCCTCTATCTGTCCTTGGATATTTCTAATTGCTGCCTGTTTTTCAATGAAGAATATATATAAATGCAACAGTCCTTGGATATTTCTAATTGCTGCCTGCTTTACAATGAAGAATATATATAAATGCAACGAAGAAACTTCAGTAAAAACAACCCAAAACCCAGGCCCAAATCCTGCAAACAACCACTATGAAATGATCTGTGGATACATCTGAATTCACTGCTTTTGTTACAGAGGCCTGACCACTGCTTTCTAAGATTCAAAATATAAGAAGCTCCATTTTACTGCTTGACTGCATGATATCAGAGATAGAAAGAGAATGAAAGTGCTATTGAAACAGAATTTATTTTCCAGTTTATGATGATGCTCTTAGGGTGACATTAAACAGAAACCATTTGATGAATATGAACTTGATGGATCTGAGATATCTCAACACACAAAACTTGGCAACATTTAACAAAGTCATGACTTTTTCATTTTACACCCTTAACCAGTCTGGTACTCTTCAATTTTGAAACTGAACCACTCTGTAGAACAGACTCTGTGAAAGTAACTTGGTCTCTTTCTGCTGCCAAGCCCTGGGCATACTATCTCAAGAGCTACCTAACTCTGCAGAGAAAGGAAATTCTTCCCTGTGAGGTGCTGAGGCACTGGCACAGGTTGCCCAGAGTAGTTGTGGCTGCCCCATCCCTGGAAGTGTTCCAGGCCAGGCTGGATGGGGCTTGGAGCAACCTGGTCTAGTAGAAGGTTTCCCTGCACATAGAAAGGGGGTTAGAATTAGATGATCTTTAAGGTCCCTTCCAAGCCAAACCATTGTATATCCTATGATATATATATATGCCACTATTAATGAAAGGAGGAAAAGAAAGGTTGCCCTGAAAAATGCATGCAACAGAAATGAAACACAGGGCAGGGGGAAAAAGGGTCTAAAAGAGTTGAAATCATTATAAAATATCACAAAATAGTATCTCCAGAGAAACACATAGCCTGTCTGTATCTATAAAGTACAGTTGTTATTAAAAATAAATCCCAGTTTTCATGTTTACAGCCTCTAGCAAACTTTCCTCTTTAATCATTTTTATGTTGACTTTCTCTTCCTTTACAGATCTTACAGGTGAACAAGGTGATGTCCATCTTGTTTTATGTGATATTTCTCACTTATCTTCGTGGCATCCATTCTACCAACATGGATCAAAGGAGTTTGCCAGAAGATTCTATAAATTCTCTTATTATTAAACTCATTCAGGCAGACATTTTAAAAAACAAGCTTTCTAAGCAGATGGTAGATATTAAGGAAAACTATCAAAACACAGTGCAGAAAGCAGACACTCAGCAAGACATGGATGGAGATGAAAATGTGAAATCAGACTTCCAGCCAGTTATCTCAATAGATACAGACCTCTTAAGGCAGCAAAGACGCTACAACTCACCCCGAGTCCTCTTGAGTGACAACACACCACTGGAACCACCTCCCCTGTACCTCATGGAGGATTATATTGGAAATTCAGTGGTGGTGAACAGAACCTCCCGGCGGAAGAGGTATGCAGAGCACAGGGGCCACCGAGGGGAATATTCCGTTTGTGACAGTGAAAGTTTATGGGTCACGGACAAATCTTCTGCGATCGACATTAGAGGACACCAGGTAACTGTTCTGGGAGAAATTAAAACAGGCAACTCTCCAGTTAAGCAATACTTTTATGAAACAAGGTGTAAAGAAGCCAAACCTGTAAAAAACGGCTGCCGTGGCATTGATGACAAGCACTGGAATTCCCAATGCAAGACATCCCAAACTTATGTTAGAGCACTGACTTCAGAAAACAACAAACTGGTAGGCTGGAGATGGATAAGAATAGACACCTCCTGTGTGTGTGCATTATCGAGGAAAATAGGAAGAACATAAATATGCATCTCTTTGCTATATAAATTATTACTTTAAATTATATGATATGCATGTAGCATATAAATGTTTATATTGTTTTATATATATTATAAGTTGACCTTATTTATTAAACTTCAGCAAATCTACAGTATATAAGCTTTCTCTCTCAATAAACAAGAGCAATGGGTGTGTGCCTCTGCTGTGGGCAACTCCGGGTTTTTTTAGACTTTGTTTGTGACACTGCTTGTCGGCAGCATACCGTAACCTTCCTGTAAAATCTGTGTAAAATCAGTATTTTTCATTCAGTATTGTCAAGCCAGTGACTGTCATTTAGTAAACTTGTTAAAAATCAGATCAATGCCAAGAGTTGTGTACATATTTATATTCCCTGCTCTATACATTCACATTTAATTGGATGCAGCGTTGACTCCTCACCGCCGAAACAAAAATGGACCAAAATATATGTTGTAGCCTGCAGATGATGTCAAAGTTACAGGCATTGGGTAGCCCTAAAATAAAGTTTCTGTGTGTTATGCCAGTTTTGCCAGTGAAATTACCATTTTCCCTCTGTTAACATTTCAGAATGGCTGCTAATAACCCAGCAATTTCCATTTATGTTGTTGAAGCACATTTGTTTTGCAACTGTTTCTAATGCTGCCAGTGCATCATTGAAAAAATATGAAAAAAATCTAAAATATTTGTAGCCGAAACTTATTGAAGCCAAGAACCAATCTAAATGGATCATTAATATAATACATAAAAGATGGTTTGTTGTGATCAGCCTCTTCCTCCTCACATGAATCAATTATCTCCTGCTTGCATTGTTAGACCGTTCCTCTCTGTCTGAGTTTTTAAATTAGAAACAAAACTGGTGGTGTGTTAACCTTTACAAGAGCCGTTGGCTTGCAAATTGTAGTGAAGAAAGGTATGATATCTTGGCACAGATATCAAAGCCACACACCCGTAGAAAGCCATTCTTCTCAGCAATCTATTCTCCATCTTTTACAGGGGGAAATATGTCTAGAACTGCTCAAGAAACCTGGTACCTTTCACAGGAACATGAAATAATGCATCAATTTCAACAGCAGGGTGAACAAAATCCAGGTGGTTTATAGTTATAATGATGTTCTTCAATTAAACAGATGAGTTGTTACTTAGGACAGAAAACTGTACTAGCATACATATACCTCAAGCTCTTCTTTGGATTGCCATATAGCTCCACTGGGGACAGGAATAATGACACTACTTGAAGAGATGGTCTATTACACATTGGCTGTGTAATGCCCTGGATGGGATCCCACTCCATAATGTAAATGAGAGTTCGTGGCCATTATCAGAATTAAGATTGGACTGCATGTGATCTGTGTCCAGCTAGCCCTAACACACACCCAGCACTGGAAAATACCAGCCATTCACAAAGCTTTACAGCTGTAGTGGCTTAGGTTTTTACACTGTGTTCAGCATCACAAATGAAAACGAGATCAGAGCGCTCAATCCGAGGCTGCAGGATGCCTTTATTCATACAGCTTTCACTCCTGGAAAACCAGCTTCAAATCTGTAACAGGCCACTGAAGGCAGCAAATTGTGTGGTCTCCCCTAATCCCTTACAGAGAGTGTTGCACACCATAAAACCACTGAAGAACTGGACAGGTTGCCCATGAGGCCAAGCACTGGAATAGTAGTGAAAGCCAGGTTGGAGCATGTAGGTATGTTTCTGCAGGGGAGGCCATAAGCAAAGCTTTTAAGAACCATCTCAATTTTCAACATGAGGCCATGCTATTTACCTCACAGGAAATATCATCACCTTGCAGAACTAAATCCTAACTTTGCTTCAAGCAGTAATAACTTCAGAGGTTCAATACCAAGGCAATCATTAAAATGAAAGAGAGGATGTAACATAAAAAGGAACTCAGTATCTGATAAATCTGACTAGAATATTTCCAGCTTTCTCATTCCTTGATAAATGTTTTTTTTTAAAAAAAAAAATTCCCCCACAGAGCTTTTGCTAGTTTTGCTAGTAGGAAAGTTTAAGTTTCAAATAAATTCTTTGGCTCAGGGGGACAAGAATATTTTTCAGACTCCTGCCCTGCTGGAATTTTTTGCAAGTTGAAAGTTTTACACCTTGAATTCCAAAATAAAGACCATTTTCAGATGTTGGGAGTAACTGAGAGCTGATATTGTTATGTATTATTAACTTTTGAGATCTCCTTGCTTCACTATGCCAGATAGGTCTATCTCCATTTGAGAAGAGGAGGTAAGAAGACTAACTTAGCTTGGTTAAATCCCATTAATCAGAAAGGACCTTGTTCCGGCAGTGTGGATGCCACATTTGTTTACATCACTATAAATCCAGATAAATTCTGTTGAAGATAGGGGAGAAAATGTAGCTTTATAACAATGTAAACAACATCAGAGTTGGTCCTAATGCCTTTATTTCTGCTCAGCGAAATTCGAGGGAGGTTCATTCTTTAAAGGTTCAAAGAAAACCATTTGTCATTTTTCACTGTAAATCCAGTGACAGGAACTGGTCTTTGACTCTTAACTTTAACAAGTATTTTACAAGCAGCCAGCAAAAATGTATCAGAGTAAATACTCCAGTCATCTGAAACACATGAAATGAGAAAGGAGCATGGTGTGTAAGGTCATTAGATTGGCTGCCTCTTTCCCACCCCAGGATAACAATGAACGGAAGTGTTACCCTCTGGATCTGATCCAACTTCCACTAAAGTCAATGGAAAAAAATCTCACCTTCTCCAGTGGAAGCTGGATCAGTACCTGAGCAAAGGAAAACCTGCAGATCTCAACCAGAGAGAGGAGCGATCACACACATCAGTAACGCGTTCCTGTAAATCCTGTGTACGCATAAGATGCTGTATAATTTTGTAACAAGTTTGTAAACAAAGCCTGTAATAAATTTGTTAAGGTCTAATTCAGTTTTCGCTGTAGCTGCGGATGGTTTTATTGTCAACTTTGGTCATGGCACAATGAATTCAAAATTCCTATCCAACTCTTTTTTTGTATGTGTTAAGTAATTATGTAAAATATTCAGCTTGCAATGCTAGTTTAATTTAAGCATTCTAAAAATCACTTCCATTAGGCAGCTCAGATGCTCTGTCAATATTGTTTTGCCAATAGATCATTATAAACACACATTTCATTTAGCTTTTCTCCCAAATGACTGAATGCTATTCTGAAATTGCCTGTCTGTGTCAAACTGTATTTTCTCCATTTTTTTCCCTAGTTTTTTTACAGTCCATTTAGTAACAGTAAAAAATGCTCCACTGAGGTTTTGGGAAACCATCTGCATTTATTTTATCACCTTTGAACATGTGTTCAGGAATGAAATCTGTGCAGCAAGTTTACTGCTACCAAGAGATTTGTGCGGCTGCACCGGGAAGAAACTTTGACTGGACTTTACAGAGTGTGTGCTCAAAACCACTCTCCTCATACTCTGTTATTTCGATCCTTTAGCAACCCAAGTCTTTCTCTCAGCTATACATTGTGTATCTGCAGACAATACCAAACAGGAAACAAGTCTGATTAGGAGTTTCAAAATTAAAAATTTAATGATAATGACCTGCTATTTCTGACCTTTCAGCAAACGCGTTTGTACAGCGGAATAAAGTGCAGAACCATTCATTTCATTTAATAGAAACATTGTGGCAAAATCAATGGGATTCTGTGTTCTCCACGCTTGGTAAGCGTATGTAATTCATCTTGCATGTGGGGCAGGGGGGAGGAGGAAGAGAAGGAGGAGGAGGAGGAGGAGGAGGATAGGATAATAAGCACCACAGCTTGTGAGAAGGAAAAGGCTGTGCTCTGGGTTGGAGCATTTAAAAGTGTGGAGGGGTTGTTCTCTGAAATGCTTTGTCTGTATTTTGTTACAGCAGATGGCAGAATGACGAAGCAAGCACAGATGTGGTGTAAAAAAACCAAGCAATACTAGGATAACAAAAAACTTTCCCGGGAAAGTCGGCCATTCACTACCACTGCAGGTCCATGCAGTTCTGTGCACATTGTTACAGGGCTCAGCATTGACACTCCTAGTTTAATTATTTAAGTAACCTCTGTGGCAAAAAAAAAAAAAAAAAGTAAAAAAAAAGTAAAAAAAGAAAAAAGAAAAGAGAGAGGATTTTTCCCAAAGCTTATTACATTCATGAGCTGGATCATTTTCTTTCCATTTTTCTTTTTCTTTTTTTTCCTTGTTGTTGCTGTTGTTGTTTTCTGGGGGGATTTTTTTGGATTTTTGTGGGTTTGGTTACTCTGTTTGGTAATCTTTAGCTGCTTTGTACCTCTGATGATCAGCAAGTTGTAATGCTTTCCATGAAGGTCCCCAAATATTGGTTTCTCCTTTGTTTTACTGCTGAGCTTTGAAGCCAGCAGCACCTGAAAGATAGTTTCACTATGGAACTGGCCTTTTGATGTCATGACCTCATGTTTCCAGACATTTTGATCATAGGGTCCTATTTTGGAGCTCTTACCCACACAATTAGATGGGATCATGACCAGGCTGCTCCAAATCATGCTTGAGAAGTGTCTGTGTATACAACAGCCAAGGAGCAAAGGTAGAGTGAGGCAGCCCTGTGCCATTTTTACATTCACCTTCATACACCTTCTGCTCTGCTTTCAGTCTTGAGATGAAAGTAGCATAATCAAGGACTGACAATCAAGAGTTGCTTTCTGAATGTCTGAGGGTTCAGATGTCTAGTAGATAGATCACAGAAACATAGAATGGCCTGGATTAGAAGGGCCATTAAAGATCATCTTGTTCCAACTCCCTGCTGTGGGCAGGGACACCTTTCACTAGACCAGGTTGCTCAGAGCCCCATCCAACCTGGCCTTGAACACTGCCAGGGATGATCTTTAACAGGGTGACAGTTTCTCAGTTCATGTTTTTTGCCTGCCCAGAAACATCTTATGTGAATCTGGGTAGACCTTCTGTAAGAGGGTTCTGTGTTTGCAGCATGTCAGTTGACTCCCTCTAAAACACAACATGTTGCCACTCTTTACTTATGTCACAGGGAGGAGAGAGCATGACTGGTAAACCAGC